AATATAAGTAATGATTTATGTTTATTTTATATTATTTATTTTATTATTTTATTTATTTTATTATTTAATTTATATTAAATAATAGTAAATATTATTTATTTTATTATTTTATTTATATTATTTATTTTATTATTTAATTTAGCATCATTAGTATATTATTATTTATTCTATTATTTTCTTTTTAATTTATTGAGTAATATAAGTAATTATTTATGTTTATTATTTTATTTAACATTATTACTATATTATTATTTATTCTATTATTTTTAATTTATTGAGTATTATAATTAATCATTTATGTTTATTTTATTATTTTATTTAGCATTATTAGTACATTATTATTTATTCTATTCCTTTAATTTTATTATTATAAGTAATTATTTATGTTTATTATTTTATTTAGCATTATTAGTACATTATTATTTATTGTATTCTATTCTTTTTAATTTATTGAGTAATATAAGTAGTGATTCATGTTTTATAATTTCGTTTAGCATTATTACTATATTATTTATTCTATTCTATTCTTTTTAATTTATTGAATATTATAAGTAATTATTTATATTTATGTTATTATTTTATTTAGCATTATTAGTACATTATTTATTCTATTCTATTTAATTTATTTATTATAATAATTATTTATGTGTATTTTATTATTTTATCTAGCAGCATTCATATGTTATTATTTATTATCTTCTATTAGTACATTATTTATTCTATTTTATTCTATTTATTTTATTGAGTATTATAAGTATGCTGATTTTATTATTTTATTTAGCAGCATTCATATATTATTATTTATTCCATTCCATTCTATTTATTTTATTGAGTATTATAAGTATTTGTTTTTTATTATTTTATTTAGCAGCATTCATATGTTATTATTTATTATCTTCTATTAGTACATTATTTATTCTATCCTATTTATTTTATTGAGTATTATAAGTATTTATGTTTATTTTATTGTTTTATTTAGGAGTATTAATACATTATTATTTATTCTATTCTATTATTTTATTGAGAATTATAAGTAATTATTATTATTTTATTAATTTTGGTATGATTTTATTAATATTTTCTTCATTAGTGGTAGTATACGATCACTATTTATTATTATTTTACCAAATTTATTTAGTATATTATTGTGTTATTCTATATTGTTTTATTATATTTTATATTATTATTATTATTATTATTATTATTATTCCCAGGCAGGGTGGGTATGTCCATATTGCCAGCCATTCCTGGGACTCTGGGGTCCCTGCTCTTTTCCCATCGCTACGACTCCGCATCCCATAATCCACGACCATTGCAGGCTGTTGATCCATCTGCTTTACCTCTCTTTATTTATAGGCTGAGGCTGCTGCTTGAGTCATCATTGAAGGTTTAAAACATGAGGCAAGTCACCTCCCCATCAGCCACTTCCTGCTCCTCCCCACCCCTTTCTCTCTCTCTCTCTCTCTCTCTTCTCCCATGGACCATCCCTGCCCCTCTTTCCTGCAATCTGCGCCCCACAAGCTCCCACCCTGAACCATTTTTGGGTCAAGGACAACCTTACTTTCAGAAGGAAGGAAGGAGGAGAGAAGAGTGGAGCTCGAGAGACCTCCACTTTATTGTTTCTATATTGCCTTACCTTTGGAAGGAAGGAAGAATGGAGGAGATAAGAGGGGAGCTCCAGAGACCTCCATTTTATAGCACTAAACTGCCTTACCTTCAGGACGGAGGGAAGGAGAGAAGAGTGGAGCTCCAGAAACCTCCATTTTATAGTTTCTATATTGTCTTACCTTTGGAAGGGAGGAGAGAAGAGTGGAGCTCCAGAGACCTCCACTTTATAGTTTCTATATTGCCTTACCTTTGGAAGGAAGGAAGAAGGGAGGAGAGAAGAGTGGAGCTCCAGAGACCTCCATTTTATAGTTTCTATATTGTCTTGCCTTTCGAAGGAAGGAAGGAAGGAAGGAAGGAAGGAAGGAAGGAAGGAAGGAAGGAAGGAAGGAGAGGGAAGAGTGGAGCTCCAGAGACCTATGATTTGTAGTTTCTAAACTGCATTACCTTCAGAAGGAAGGAAGAAGGAAAGAAGGAAAGAAAAGCTCCAAAGACCTCCATTATATAGTTTCTAAATCGCCTTACTTTCGGAAGGAAGGAAGGAAGGAAGGAAGGAAGGAAGGAAGGAAGGAAGGAAGGAAGGGGAGAAATGTGGAGCTCCAGAGACCTCCATGTTATAGTTTCTAAACTGGCTTACTTTCAGAAGGAAGGAGGGAGGGAGGAGAGAAGGGTGGAGCTCCAGATACCTACGATTTATAGTTTTGAAGGCTGGATGGATGGATGAAAGGAAGCTAGCTAGCTCTAAAGACCTATGAGTTATAGTTACTAAACTGCCTTACCTTCAGAAGGAAGGAAGGAAAGAAGAGTGGAGCTCCAGAGACCTCCATTTTATTGTTTCTAAGTTACCTTTCCTTCAGAAGAAAGGACGGAAGGAAGGAAGGAAGGAAGGAAGGAAGGAAGGAAGGAGAGAAGAGTGGATCTCCAGAAACCTATGATTTATAGTTTTGAAGGAAAGAAGGAAGGAGGGAGGAGAGAAGAGTGGAGCTCTGGAGTCGTACAATTTATAGTTTCTAAACTGTCTTACCTTCAGAAGGAAGGAAGGAGGAGAGAAGAATGGAGCTCCGGAGTCATACAATGTATAGTTTCTAAACTGCCTTACCTTCGGAAGAAAGGAAGGAAAGAAGGAGGGAAGGAGGAGGGAGAGAAGTGTGGAGCTCTGGAGTCCTATGATTTATAGTTTCTAAACTGTCTTACCTTCAGAAGGAAGGAAGGAAGGACGGAAGGAAGGAGGGAGGAGAGAAGAGTGGATTTCTGGAGTCGTGCAATGTATAGTTTCTAAACTGCCTTACTTTCAGAAGAAAGGAAGGAAAGAAGGAGGGAAGGAGGGAGGAGAGAAGAATGGAGCTCTGGAGTCGTACAATGTATAGTTTCTAAACTGCCTTACCTTCAGAAGAAAGGAAGGAAAGAAGGAGGGAGGAGAGAAGAGTGGAGTTCTGGAGTCCCACGATTTATAGTTCCTAAACTGTCTTACCTTCAGAAGGAAGGAAGGATAGAAGGAAGGAAGGAAGAGAGAAGAGTGGAGCTCTGGAGTCCTACGATTTATAGTTTCTAAACCATCATACCTTCAGAAGGAAGGAAGGAAGGAAGGAAGGAAGGAAGGAAGGAAGGAAGGAAGGAAGGAAGGAAGGAAGGAAGGAGAAGAGAAGAGTGTAACTCCAGAGACCTTACCCCCGGAAGGAAGGAAAGAGGGGGGAGAGAAAAGTGGAGCTCCAGAGACCTACGATTTATAGTTTCTAAACCGCCTTACCTTCAGAAGGAAGGAAAGAATGAAGGAGAAGAGAAGAGTGGAGCTCCGGGGACTTATGTTTTATAGTTTCTAAACTGCCTTACCTTCAGAAGGAAGGAAGGAGGAGAGAAGAGTGGAGCTCCAGAGACCTACGATTTATAGTTTCTAAACTGCCTTACCTTCAGAAGCAAGAAAGGTAGGACGGAAGGAAGGAGGGAGGAGAGAAGAGTGGAGCTCTGGTGTCGTACAATTTATTATTTCTAAACTGCCTTACCTTCAGAAGAAAGGAAGGAAAGAAGGAGGGAGAAGAGAAGAGTGGAGCTCTGGAGACGTATGTTTTATAGTTTCTAAACTGCCTTACCTTCAGAAGGAAGGAAGGAGGAGAGAAGAATGGAGCTCTAGAGACATATGTATAACAATAATGATGATGATGTAATAATATTATTATAATAGGATCATAAACTTGGAAGGGCTCCCAAGGGCCATCCATCCTAACCCCTTCTGCCATAGAAGAAGGTGGCACCCGATTCTTCCTGAAAGATTGAAGTCAATACGGACTTTAGGAGGGTCTCCCCAGTAAGAGAGACCCCTAGGACCGCACCAAAGAGGGCCCATGACCTTGGCGAGCCGTCAGAGAAACCTGATTCCAGCAATTTTATTGATATTAATAATTGAAATGAGACTCTTGCCAAGGCGAAGAAGAGGCATCGAGGTTTATTAGCGATTCAGCTGAAGCGGATGCATTTGCAGTGATCATTCACATGCAAGCATAAAGAAATACATTTGATACAGCCATTTATATAGAGTTTTCAAAGTTGCAGAGTTCAAACTTCCTGCCCCAGCCTCCCTGCTGCCCTCCACTGCGATTGGACAATGGGCGGACAGCTGGAAGGTGGCCCTCCCACCCCCGGCGCCTCCGGACCAATAAGGAAGCTCCAGCGGTCCGCAGGGTCCAATGGGGAGGCTTCTGCCATCTAGCGGCATTAGCAAATCATAAAAGAGGGAGGCGGGATGAAAGGACACAAAGGAATCTATGAATGAATGTGAAAAAATAATGCCATGTGGCCGGCGAGACAAAGGGGAAATCTCAAGCCAGCCTGATCTATTGTGCTTTGAGTGGAATGAATCAACATGTGTAGACTGGGGTGATTGTTTCTTGGTGGAGATAGCTGAGTTAATCAGAGCGAAGGCAAAAGGTCTGGTACCTTTGTCCTTTGCAGAACTATAAGTCACCATCCCTTGTTAGGGGGGGAGAGCATGCTCGACGTCAAGATGGCCATCCATCCCCTGCTTCAGAACATAGAATACCTTTGGAGACCCAGCCTCCTGAGAGCCTTGTGCGTTTTGTCCCATTGGTCACTCCATCCTGGCGCCATGGCCTCTCTCCATCCCTGCTTCTCTCTCTCTCTCTCTCTCTCTTTCTCTCCTCCTGTCTTCTTCCTCCTTCCTTCCCTTCAGAGCCTCTTTCAGCAGCTTGCCCCAAAAAGCCTGCCTGCCTCTGTCTTCCCTTTCGACCACCACCGTCTTCCTCCCAGGCCTCTCTGGTTGTCTTGCGGGTCCGTCCGGACCGTTGTGCGTGCCCTCGTTTTTCCCGCCGCCGTTTCACTCTTCTCTTCCCTTCTTCTTCCTCCTCCTCTTCTTCGTTCCCTTCTTCTCTCCCCCTGCGCAGCCCCGGAGGCCCCCGTCATCGACACGCAGCGCACCTACGCCTACGACCAGATCTTCCTCTCCTGGCGCCTCCCGCAGCACTCCCCGCCCGCCTGGCACTACGCCGTGGAGTTCCGCCGCGCTGAGCCCAAGGGGAAGGCCCTCAAGCTCTGGCAGCGCCGAGAAGAAGTGCGCGGAACCAGTGCCGCCGTGGAGGTGGTAGAGGCCGGTGGGCTCGGGGCCGTCTACGTCCTGCGCGTCCGTGGGTGCAACAAGGCCGGATTCGGGGAGTACAGCGAGGAGGTCTACCTGCACACCCCACCTGCACCAGGTGAGGCTGGGAGGCCGTCTGTCGGGAGGGATCGGGTGGCAGAATGGGGGTTGGACTGGGTGGCCCTCTTTGGGGATGCCTTCCAATTCCCAATTCCAGGAGTCTATGATACTATCTATCTAACTATCCATCTATCCATCCCTTCGTCCATCCATCCGTCCATCCATCCCTTCATCCATCCATCCATCCCTTCATCCATCCATCCATCCATCCATCCCTTCGTCCATCCATCCCTTCGTCCCATCCATCCATCCATCACTTCATCCATCCAATCATCCATTCATCCATCCATCGCTTCGTCCATCCATCCATCCCATCCATCCATCCATCCCTCCATCCCTTCATCCATCCATCCATCCATTTATCCATCCATCGCTTCGTCCATCCATCCATCCCTTCATCCATCCAATCATCCATCCATCCATTGCTTTGTCCATCCATCCATCCCATCCATCCCTTCATCCATCCATCCATCTATCCATCCATCCATTCCTTCATCCATCCATCCATCTATCCATCCATCCCTTCGTCCATCCAATCATCCATCCATCCATTGCTTTGTCCATCCATCCATCCCATCCATCCATCCATCCCTTCATCCATCCATCCATCTATCCATCCATCCCTTCATCCATCCATCCATCCATCCATCCATCCATCCATCCATCCATCCATCCATCCATCCATCCATCCCTTCGTCCATCCATCCCTTCATCCATCCATTCATCTATCCATCCATCCCTTCGTCCATCCATCCATTCATCCATCCATCCATCCATCCATCCATCCATCCATCCATCCATCCATCCATCCATCCTACTGTCTATCTATCTATCCATCCATCCATCCATCCATCTTCTTCTCTGCATGATTTTAACCATAGGCTTTTCATCTATCTTTTTTTCTATTTATCTTTCTGGTTTTCCACTTATCTCATCTCTTGGGGAGGCTGGATGGCCATCTGCCAGGAGGGATCGGATTGGGCCTTTCTTGCTGGCTGAAGGGGGTTGGACTAGATGTCCTTAGGGGATCCCTTTCATGCCACGATTCAGTGTGTTTTTGACCCTAGGCCCAATTAATGTATATGTACATATACGTGTGTGTGTGTGTGTGTAAGGCGTTGTGGGGCCGTGTTGCGTGTGCTTGGGCCTGACCCTGCTCCCCCTTTGTTGTGTCCGGCGGCAGTGCTGAACTTCTTCCTGGACAACCGCTGGGGCTTCAACCGGGAGCGGCTGGCCATCAGCAAGGACCAGCGGGCGGTGCGGAGCGTGCCGGGTTTGCCCATGCTGATGGCGGCCGAGCGGCTGATGACGGGCTGCCACCTCTCGGTGGACCTGGTCATCGGGGACGTGGCGGTCACCCAGGGGCGCAGCTACTGGGCGTGCTGCGTGGACCCCAGCTCCTACCTGGTCAAGGTGGGCGTGGGCCTGGAGAGCAAGCTGCAGGAGTGGTTCCAGGTGCCCCAGGACGTGGCCAGCCCCAGGTGAGCAGTCCTTACCATTACTATTATTATTACTATTATTAATAATAATCATATTTATTAATATATTTACTATTACATATTATATTATTATTTTTTCATATTTATTATTATTACTGACATATCTTTTTTATATATATTATTATATTTATTATTATTTCTCATGTATTATTATTACTGATATATCTATTATATCTCTTATATTATTATATTTCTGTTTATTGATATTATTTATATTTATTATTAGTAGCAATATATTTATTATTTTTTCTCATGTATTATTATTAATATATCTATTATATATCTTATATTATATATATATATGTTTATTGATATTATTTATATTTATTATTAGTAGTAATATCTCTATTATTATTTCTCATGTATTATTATTACTAATATATCTATTATATCTCTTATGTTATATCTATTTCTGTTTATTGATATTATTTATATTTATTACTAGTAGCAATATATTTATTATTATTTCTCATATTTATTATTATTACTGACATATATTTTATATATATTATATTAATTATTGTTTCTCATATTTACTATTATTACTAAAATATCTATTATTATATATCATATTATTATTATTATTATTTCTCACATGTATTAGTATTAGTATTATACATATTATATATATTGTTATTGTAATTATATTATTTATATTTATTATAATTAGTCATATTTATTATTAGCAATAATATATCCAAGGTAATAAGATATATCCATATCTTATTATAATATTTATTTTTATTTCTCACATTTATTATTATTATTACTAATATATCTGTATATCATTATTATATTTATTTTTATTTCTCACATTTATTATTATTATTACTAATATATCTGTATATCATTATTATATTTATTATTATTTCTCACATTTATTATTATTATTACTAATATATCTATTATTATATATCATTATAATATTTATTATTATTTCTCACATTTATTATTATTATTACTAATATTATTATGTATCATTATTATATTTATTATTATTTCATATTTATTATTATTAATATATCTATTATTATTTTTATTTCTCATATTTATTACTATGAATATATCTATTATATTATTATGAATAAATCTGTTATTATATCTTATATTAAATATTAACAATATTTAATATAAATAATAATATATCTATTATTACATATGTTATATTATTATTATTATTAATATTTAATTTGCCTTAGTTTGCATTCAAGGATGGTATTTCAGTGTCAATATCAAGTCAATACAGAGTATAGTTTTTGGGGGTCCATTCGGGGGTGCACATTAGATTCGAGTCATGACCGTGTACAGTATAGTTTTGGGGGTCCATTCGGGGTGTGCATTAGATTTGAGTCATGACCATGTACAGTATAGATTTTGGGGGTCCATTCGGGGTGCGCATTAGATTTGAGTCATGACCGTGTACAGTATAGGTTTTGGGGGTCCATTCGGGGTGCGCATTAGATTCGAGTCATGACCGTGTACATTCGGGGTGCGCATTAGATTCGAGTCATGACTGTGTACAGTATAGTTTTTGGGGGGTCCATTTGGGGTGCGCATTAGATTCGAGTCATGACCGAGTACAGTATAGATTTTGGGGGTCCATTCGGGGTGCGCATTAGATTCGAGTCATGACCGTGTACAGTATAGTTTTTGGGGGTCCATTCGGGGTGCGCATTAGATTCGAGTCATGACCATGTACAGTATAGTTTTTGGGGGGTCCATTCGGGGTGCGCATTAGATTTGAGATGACCGTGTACAGTATAGATTTTGGGGGTCCATTCGGGGTGCGCATTAGATTCGAGTCATGACCGTCTCCGTCTTCTCGTTGGCAGGTACGACCCGGACAGCGGCCACGACAGCGGAGCGGAGGACACCACGCTGGAGGCGTCTCCTCCCTTTGCCTTCCTGACCATCGGCATGGGCAAGATCCTGCTCTCGGCCTCCCGCGACCCGGGCTCGTGCACGGTGCCGCTTCCCCCGCGGGTGGGCATCTGCCTGGACTACGAGCGCGGGAAGGTCTCCTTCCTGGACGCCGTCTCCTTCCGCAGCCTCTGGGAGTGCGGCGTCGACTGCTCCGGCCCCGTCTGCCCCGCCTTCTGCTTCGTGGGCGGGGGCGCCCTCCACCTCCAGGAGATGGTGGCCGCGCGCCAGGAGCGCAAGGTCACCATCGGGGGGTTCGCCAAGATGGACTGAGACCCCCGCCCCAGCCCCTCACCCTGGCCGGAGGTCTCTGTCCTGGTGGCAACCAGCACGAGGGGGGCCCCCTCGGAAGAAGAAAGTCAACCCTTGGTCAGGCCGGCCGGCTGGGCGAGCGAGCGGGTGGGTGGGCAGGGGGCCAACCGAGGAGGGGTCTCCCACCCCCCACCCCGCTAGGAAGAAAGGGCGACCCCCTTTGGGTCCGGGACTCGATATGTAGAAAGTTGCTGAAATGGGGGAAATGGGGGCCACCAACATGGGCCCGACCCCAGAGGAGCCCCCTCGGGGGAAAGATGTTGTTGTGTGCCATAGCCTTCTCCCCTTCTCTCTCTCTCTCTCCTTCCTTCCTTCCTTCCTTCCTTCCTTCCTTCTTTCCTCTCTTTCTCCTTGCTATCTATCTATCTATCTATCTATCTATCTATCTATCTATCCATCATTCCTTCTTTCTCCCCTTCTTTCTCTCCTTCCTTCCTTCCTTCCTTTCTTCCTCTCTTTCTCCTCTGTCTATCTATCTATCTATCTATCTATCTATCTATCTATCTATCTATCTATCTATCAATCTATCTATCTATCTATCTATCTATCTATCTATCTATCCATCCTCCCTTCTTTCTCTCCTTCCTTCCTTCCTTCCTTCCTTCCTTCCTTCCTTCCTCTTCCTTCCTTCCTTCCTTCCTTCCTTCCTCTCTTTCATCTTACTATCTATCTCTATCTATCTATCATCTATCTATCTATCTATCAATCTATCTATCTATCCATCCTCCCTTCTTTCTCTCCTTCCTTCCTTCCTTCCTTCCTTCCTTCCTTCCTTCCTTCCTTCCTTCCTTCCTTCTCTCTTTTCTTCCTTCTCTCCTATCTATCTATCCATCCTCCCTTCTTTCTCTCCTTCCTTCCCTCCTTCCTTCCTCCCTCCCTCTCTTTCACCTTACCATCTACCTATCTATCGATGGATCACTCGATCAATCTATTGATCTATTGATCTATCGATCGATCTATCCATCCTCCCTTCTTTCTCTCCTTCCTTCCTTCCTTCCTTCCTTCCTTCCTTCCTTCCTTCCTTCCTCTCTTCCTCCTTATCTTCTATCTCTATCTACCTATCTATCTGTCTGTCTGTCTATTCATCCTCCTTTATTTCTCTCCTTCCTTCCTCTTCCCTTACTATCTGTCTATCTATCCTATCTATCTATCTATCTATCTATCTATCTATCTATCTATCTATCTATCTATCATCTATCTATCTATCATCCATCCTCCATTCCTTCCCTCCTTCATCCTTTCTTTCTTTCTTTCTTTCTCTTCTTCCATCCTTCCTCCCGCCCTCCCTCCCTTCCTCTCTTTCTCCTTATCTTCTATCTATATCTATCTATCTATCCATTCTCCGTTATTTCTCTCCTTCCTCTCCCCTTACCATCTATCTACCATCTATCTATCTATCTATCCATCCATCCATCCATCCTCCATTCTTTCCCTTTCTCATCCTTTCTTCTCTCTCTTCTTCTTCTCCTTCTTTCCTTCTCCTTCCTTCCTCTTTCATTCTTTCTCTCTCTCCTTCCTTCCTTCTCTCTCTCTCTCTCTCTTCTTCTTTTTTCCTTCTTTAATTCTTTCTCTCTCTCCTTCCCTCCTTCCTCCCTCCTTTCCTCCTGTCTCTCCTTCCCTCCTGAATTCTCTCTCTCTCTCTTTTCCCCTTCCTTTCTTCTCCTCCTTCTCCTCCTCCTTTCCATGTGGGACGTGCCCCCCAATCGAGGGGCGGCCATGGGGCAGCCAGCCGGGACGGGCGTGTGTGTGTGTTGATGCATGGGGAATTTGGGGATCTTTTCTAATGGCTTGCCCCCATATTATTTTTTTCCCAAATCCAAGAAGGGCCCCATTTCGGATTTTGCAAAACGGGAAAGAAGAACACCTTGGCTGGGTTTCGGAGGGTTTGGTTGTTTGGTTTTTTGTTGCAATGCCTATTAAAAAAAAACGAATGGCGGATTGCAACCCGGTCTGGTTGGAGATGTCTGTGTGCAATGCCTGGGAATCCATGTGCAGGTGGAATTGCAGGTGGAAAAGCCAAAATCAGGAAACACAAAATTTGCAAAACTTGGTGAATTTGCAAAAAGGTGAGGCTGCAATCCGGGCACCGGCCAGTAGATGGCGGTCTTTCCTCATTCCCTGGGAATTTTTTGTAAACACAGAGATGCTGCAAACTTTTTGCATCTCTCTCTCTGCAAAGGATGGAGGAAGTGGACCACTGGCCATCATGTCAGTCTGGCTCATTTTTTTCCCACCCAAAAGGAGGAAGCTTTAAGAAGAAGGCTTTATGGGTTTGCTTCCCCGAAATGGGTTTTAACTGCATTTGGGTTTACAGTTGTGCAAACACATAAAGACAAGGAGGAAGCACGGACACCAATGTCTTTGGACTTCATGCAAATCGACAGCCTTCGCGGTGGCATGTTTGCACTCGAGGGAGCGTGGCCTGCCTCGCAGGGTGGGTTTGAAGCCATGCGAAACACCTTTTGTCTCCTTGTGCAACTCCCACAGCTTCAAGACAACATTTGCACCTCCTCCCTTCCATGGCTTTAAGCAGAGGCTGGATGGCCGTCTGTCGGGAAGGCTTTGATGGTGTTTCTCCTTCCTGGCGGAATGGGGTTGGGCTGGGTGGCCCTCTTTGGGGTCTCTTCCAAGCCTAGGAGTCTATAATAATATTAATAATGATGATGGTCATATTACTCTAATGTTATATTATTATTTGACTGACACAAAAACACAGTATGACACAGCAAACGAGAAACATATGCTGGATTTCGTATATTATATTACTATTATTATATAATATATTAATTATAATGCTGGATTTCGTATATTATA